CAACGCCTGGCTATTTTTTGGTTGCAGCCATCATTGTTGTTTTGGCGGCCCGGGCTGGATTCGAACCCACCACCTTAGGTGTATGTGGCTGGCGCCTTAGCCACTTGAGCCACAGGCGCCGAGCCGCCAACAGCTATTTTTTAAGACTTCAACTAGTAACAGGAACCTGAGACATTTCCTCTCTTCACAAGACACCAAAGAATAGCTGCACATCAATGAGCAGTCTGTGAAGGTGAGGGAGATGGAAGTTATCTGGGGGATGAGGGGAAGTATACAGATACCTTCTAACCGGGTTGGATAATTTTTCAAGAGATGAATACAACCATCACTTAAGCACTGCCCCTCCTCCATCTGATTCTTTTTCTCCTGAATCACCTCGTGTCCTAATCTCAGGTCTGCTTGATTCTCTTTTCTCTCCTCTCATTTTTCTTTTTTTGTCACTTCTGTTCTATTTCGAGAACTTTGATCACACAGACCACAAAAACCATGCTCCCCTTCAGTTCATGTACTGAATCATTTTTGTTTCAAAGTGCAAGGTAGGTTTGGAGAAGACCAGGAGTCAGAACTAGTCAGATCCAGTTGAAGGAATGGTATTTCCTAAAACCAGTGGGACTCTGACAAGCAGGTTGTCAAAGATGTGGGAAAAGCTATTCGGGGTAAAATAAAACTACATGTACGAAGGCAGAGGCATGAGTAGGTGTTCTGTGATGTCTTTCCTTGCCATAATATTCTACGGTGGTCCCTCTCCTCAGTCTAGAAATTCATTCAGAGAGCACAGTGGGGAAAAATGGGGGAAGGGTTATTACAGGTAAACCTCACATGGTCAACAAAGAGTTACCAGAAACACACCTTTCTCTAGAGTTGCCTAAGAGCCTAGGGCAGGGATCCTACCATGGATCTTAGGTGTGCCTCAAAAAAATGTAAAGATCATTAATTATTTTTGAAAGAAGTTCAAAGCACAGTAAGTATATTCTTTTTTTTAACTTTTTTTTTTTTTTGATCAACACAATTTAAGTGGGCCATGGAAGTTTAACTACAGGTTCAAGTGTACCATGAGATAAAAAATGGTTGAAAAATACTGGTCCAGAAAGAGGTGCACTAGTTTGTGAAGATTCAGAAGGTGATTGGGTCTTCTCTTATCCAGCCTGTGTTCTTCTTGGAACCCAGCAAAGTACCTGAGCTCCCAACTAGGATAATCTATCAAACCAGAGCTTTACAACAAACTGCTGCATTCTGCCGGGATCCTGCTTATCTCAGGTGCCCCTTGCTATTCAGGGCTGGGCTGAGAAATCCTCAGAAGAAAGGCTGCTGAGACTGTCTTAGATCCCACTGCCCTCTCACCCAGGGACTCAAAAGCAGAAGGGTGCCTTAGGGGTGTGGGGTGGAGAGAGGAGCAAGTCTCAAGGCTGGGCTGAGTTCAGCTAAAACTACTACCTCTTGGCTCGGCGCCTATAGCTCAACCGGCTAAGGCGCCAGCCACGTACACCTAAGGTGGCAGGTTCGAATCCCCAGCCCGGACCCGCCAAACAACAAT